TGCTCCTCAAGGGGGAGCTCTGCTCAGCCACAAGCCAGGCTGATGGCTGCCAGTACAGTGGTGGTGGTGGGAGCCTCTCCCGCCTCCTCAGCAGCGCTAAGGAGTCCGACTGCAGCTTAGGGCTGCTCCCAGCTGGAAAGTGGACATCCCCCAAGGGCTGCTGGGCTGCCAGAGGGATGTCTGACTGCCAGCTTGGGCCTGATCCCCCAGGCTGCGAGCCTAAGCTAGCAGGTGGACATCCTCCGAGGAGTCCCAGACTGCAAGAGGGCATAGGCTGGGCTGAGGGACCCCCTGAATATACAAATTTTTGTGCACCGGGCCTCTAGTGAATGATAAGAAGAAGAAATTAAGAAAATTATCCCATTTACAATTGCATTAAAAAGCATATTATATCTAGGAGTAAATTTAACCAAAGAGGTGAAAGATCTGTATACTGAAAACTATAAAACACTGAAGAAAGAAACTGAACAGAATACAAATAAATGAAGCATATACCATTGTTCAAGGACTGGAAGAATGAGTATTGTAAAAATGTCCTTAGTACCTAAAACAATATAAAAATGAAATGCAATCTCTATTCAACTGCCAATGGCAGTCTTCTCAGAACTAGAACACAGCTACAATAATCAAAATAGTATGGTGTTGGCATAAAAGCAGATATATAGATTAATGAAATAGAATAGAGAGCCCAGAAATAAATTTTCCAATAAATAAACTCCAATAAATTGACTTATATGGTCAATTAATCTATGGCATAGAAGGTAAAAATACACAATTGGGGTCAAGACAGTTTCTTTAGTAGTGGTTTTGGAAAAATTGGATACATGTAAAAAATGACACTGGACCACTTTCTTGCACCATACATAAATATAAACTCAAAGTGGATTAATGATTTAAATGTAGGACCTGAAACCATAAAACTTCTTGAAGAAAACAGGCAGTAAACTCTTTGACATTAGTCTCAGCAATATCTTTTTCAATAGGTCTCGTTGGGCAAGAGCAACAACAACAACAAAAATAAACAAATGGGACAACATCAAATTACAAAGCTGCACAGTGAAGGAAACCATCAACAAAAAGAAAACTACTGAATAGGAAATGATATCTGTCAATGATACATCCGGTAAGAGGTTAATATCCAAAATATATAAGACACTCATACAGTTTAACATTAAAAAACCCCCCAAAATCCATAAAAAATGGGCAGAGGACCTAAATAGACATTTCTCCGAAGAAGATATCCAGAAGGTCCAAAGACATATGAAAAGATGCTTAACATCACTCATCACCAGGGAAATGCAAATCAAAACCACAGTGGGGTACCACCTCACACTTGTCAAAATGGTCACCATAAAAAAATCAAGAACAAGTGCTGAAGAGGATGTGGAGAAATGGAAACCCCTGCTCACTGTCGGTGGGAATGCAGACTGGCAAAGCCACTGTGTAAAACAGTATGTAGGTTCTTCAAAAAAATAAAAATAGAGCTGCTCTATGACTCAAGAATATCACTTCTGGGTATATATCCAAAGAAACTCAAAACACTAATATGGAAAAGCTATATGCACCCCTATGCAGCATTATTTACAGCTAGAGGCCTGATGCATGAAATTTGTGCAAGAGTAGGTCTCCTTCCCCCAGCTGCCAGCACCGGCTTCCCTCTGGCATCCGGGACCCAGGCTTTCCTCTGGCTGCCAACAGGCACCTGGGACCTGGGCTTCCCTCACAGCCTCAGCTTTGTCTGGAAGGTCATCTGAAAGGATGTCTGGTCTAATTAGCATATTGCGCTTTTATTATTATAGATAGCCAAGACATGAAAGCAACGTAGGTCTCCATTGACAGATGAATGAATGAAGAAAATGTGGTGTATATGTACAAGGAAATATTGCTCCCAAGGAATGAAATCTGGCCATTTGCAACAACATGGACGGACCTAGAGGGCATTATGCTAAGTGAAATAAGTCAGAGAAAGACAAATACCATATGATTTCACTTACATGTGGAGTCTAAAAAAAAAAATCAAAAGAAGTGAGGAAATAAAACAAAACCAACCCATACATACAGAGAACAAGCTGATGGTTGCCAAAGGTGAGGGGGCTGAAGGAGGGGTGAAAAAAATAAAGGACCTATTATATTTTATCAATTTATTCAGAATAGGGCAATTGTTTTTAGTTATGCATCATGTCTTTTCTACTACATTATAAACTTTGAGGCAGAATTAATGTCTGACTCACCTTTTTATTACCTAAAAAGGCCAAAAAAACAGGAAACCAATACTTATTAAGTACCTACAATTTGGCCAGAACCTCAGACATTATTTTAATCCTCACAATAGTCTCATAAAGTTGGTAGTCTGATATTATATAAGAGAAAAAGCAGTTCAAAGAAGCTAGTCAGGTCCTGGCCGGAATGGCTCAGTTGGTTGAGCATCATCCCATGCACCTAAAGGTCACAAGTTCGATTCCCAGTTAGGGCACAAGCCCAGGTTATGGACTTGATCCCTGGTAGGGGCATATGAGGCAGCCTATTGATACTTGTCTCTCTCTCTAAAATCAATAAAAAACATATTAAAAAACACAACAACAGCAAAGAAGCAAGTCAGTCTTCTTGCCCAAGTTCATCCAACTAGCAAAGAATAAAGTCTATTTTGAACATACTCCAAGACCTGCCAATTTCTACGATCCTTTATCATTTGATGCTAAATATATAAAACACACTTTAGAAGTAAATATCCATTAAGTGAGAGAAACTGTCACCATCCACATCCTAAAAGCCACCTGCATATAGAATAGTAGGATAAACTTATCTCCGCTAAGCATGTCCAAACAGGACAAAAAGGATGTTTGACCAAAACAGATAGCACGTCATCACGGAGCTGCAGTAAGGAATCTAAGAATGCTCTTTTTAAAAAATATTCAACAAACATATATTGTATATAATCTTACGTATATTACCCTGGAAAGATATAAAGGAAAGTCCCTGCCTCTAGGAACTCAAAACTGAGCCAGGGATAGATACACCCCCACAACTAACTATAATATAAATATGCACATTTCTTAGAAGAGAGGCAGTCAACTCAGACAGAGCTGCGTCAGCACCAGTTATATTTGTTATCAGAATTACAATTTGTTTAAAAAATATAAAACCTATGTGTGATCTAGAAACTTGAAAAGAGAAGGATTTGGTTAAAGAAAGAGAAGGAAAGCTTTTGAAAGGACGCATGAGGTCTGACAGTTATGTAAGTGCTAATGATAAGGCGGCGATGAGAGCCCAGTTCAGCCCTGAACACTCTTCTCAGGCTCTGCTACTCAAACAACACTCCTGAGTGACGTGAGGACATGACAGAGTTCAACAAAGTCCAAGTCCAACACCTTAGGACACAACTGAAGTCTCCAGCCAACCTACAAGCTCGGCCCCTCAAACACACCCATACCTTTGGAGTGTCAACACACTCTTCTTCCATAAATGCTGCTTCTGCCTGACAGCTGGACGCTGGAAATGAAAAGGCCTCCACATTGGATGCCTGTGGGAGGAGGGTAGATCGCATCAGTCGCATGTTCGGCGAATGCATGGTCACTGGGAAACCCACAGTTTGTGCCTGTAAATATGGCAAGAACAGACAGTTTAGGAACATTAATACCTTCCATATAAATACACACATTTCTTAGAATAAAACAACTCTTCCTGATACAATTAAAGGATAAATCGTTATTTGTTGGAAACTCCAGAAAAGGTATTGATTTGAAGCAGTCTCAGCAACCTATTATTCTGAGATAGGCTGTACAGAATTTCATTCCTGTTCCATGTGAGGCACACAAGTTTCCCAGAGATGACAAGAAAGCCAGTCTTTCTAAGGAATCTAAGAATGCTCTTTTTAAAAAAATATTCAACAAACATATATTGTATATAATCTTACGTATATTACCCTGGAAAGATAAAGGAAAGTCCCTGCCTCTAGGAACTCAAAACTGAGCCAGGGATAGATACACCCCCACAACTAACTATAAGACAATACAAAGGACACTGCAGTAAGTGCTCTCTATCTGTCCTTGTGTGTTTGTGTGTGTGTGTGTGGGGGGGGGCGGGGGCAGGGGTAAGGTGTTGTGCATTTCTTGGCAAGGGTGTGTATGAAGAGGAAGAAGAGAGAGGCAGC